TTGGTGAAATTTCTTAAACATGTCTATGGTTCTGGAGATCACACACAGTAAATGAGTGTTCCCTTTTTCTAAAAGCAATGAACATTGTTATGAACACACTAAACCTCTGTGACTGATTAATTTAAAATAATGTCTGTTTCAGTGAGTGAAATATGTAGTAATCTGGAATGAGTACATTTAAGAGTACATTTAAAATATCAAATCAGCTTAGAAATACTGATTAAGAAAATGTAAAACAGAGAAGAGCTGCATCATGTATTCCTTAATATTTAATGTTGTATTCAGCAAGACAGCTGACTCACCCTTACTACAAAGATTTGCAAATAAATGTCTGACAAACTTCAGGTCATATCAAAAAACCTCTGACTGATATTTTTTATTTCCAAGTTTTAGTGCTTTTAATTAGGTACCTTCTGCATGTCCATTCTGCGTGAGGGAGAGGCTACAGGGGTCTCTGCGGGGAACTGTGACTCTCTGCCACTGTGAGGCGGCCAGGCGTCTTGTTATTCTTTCTGCCTTGTCCCTCCGCCCCCGCTGGGCTGCAAGCTCAGTCTGCCATCCGGCATAGGGGCACCAGTTTAATATTACTGCATAGGGCCCCATAAATCCTAAGGACAGCCCTGGGGACACCAAAAAGCATGCCCTGGCTCAGCAGGGAGGAGCCGCCTTCCGGAGGCACCGGAGAGCCAGAGCGTCCTGTTTGTGGTGCTGGCAGCAAGCCCCAGCCATGGAGCCAGCGCAGGGGCGCAGGAGCCCTGCAAAGGCGATGGCACCGCTAGCAGGGAGCAGCCGTGCCCCCTGCCCCTCCTGCCCAGGCTGCAGCCTGGTCCCCCCCCGGGGGGCTCCTGCAGGCTGCAGCAGATGCATGCGGGCAGAGGCCCCCATGTGCCCCCCCCCAGCTCCCTCCTCGCCACGCTCTGGCTCTGCAGCTCCCGGGCACGTGAGCCCTGAGCCTGCTCCAGGAGGGGCGGTGGCGTCTCACACTCCCAGGTGCCACAGAGCCCGAGCATGGCGAGGGAGGAGCTGGGGGGGTGCACGGGGGCCACAGCCCCCATGCATCTGCTGCAGGAGCCCCCAGGAGCCCGCAGAAGGTAGCTCCTCCCTGCCGACAAAGCCAGTGGGTGGACACGGGGCAGGGGCCACTGGGATGGGGTGGAGAGGGCTCACGGGGGGGCTGTGCACCCTCCAGGGGAGTTCAGGGGGCAGGGAGGGGGGAACCTGGTCTGGGGAGCAGCCCCTGGGCACAGCTGGCCCCTGGGGTCTATAAAGGCTCGTTGGGATTTGTCCCTCAATTAACTGATGTTATGGAGCGGAGGAGAGGGCACAAGGTGGAAGTTTCACCTAGGGTGCAAAATATCCTTGCACCAGCCCTGGGCACCGGGTTTAAAGACTCCTGGTTCATCTTCCCAGCCAGGAGAGGAAAGAACAATTTCGTGAGTTTATCTGCAATAGCAAGATTTTAGGAATGAAAATTATTGTGGTCTTTCCCCTCATTTCTTGGCAGAATGATAGATAATCTGAGAGAGCAGGTAGCCGTGTGAAAGAATCCTGGGCTTGACTCCCAGCCTTGGGAGTTCTGATTCGCTGTGTGACTTTGGGTGATATTGGGTTTAATTTAATTCACAATTACTTCAACTTGCCATGGTAGAAGCGAATAACTAAGGAAGCAGAGAGAATGCGGTGCTGGCAGCTGCTGCTCTCTGTCACTCACACAGGAAGGCTGGTTCTCTGCACGGTTAGTTTTAGTGCGGGCTCGGATAGGTTTCCTCTCAGTGTGTGTCTCTGGCACAGTAATACACGGAGGTGTCTCCACGTTGCAGGCCGGTCAGTTGCAGGAACACTTGGCTTTTGGAGTTGTCTTTGGTGATGGTGAGCCGATTTTTTAGAGCATTGCTATAAGCAGTGCCTCCACCAGTCCAGATAACTCCCATCCAATCCAGCCCTTTCCCCACTGGCTGGCGGACCCAGTGTACCTCGAAGCTAGTGAGAGAGAATCCGGACACGGTGCAGGTCAGTCTGAGGGTGTCTCCGGGTTTCTTCAGTCCCCCACCAGACTCCACCAGGTTGATCTGGGAATAGACACCTGCAGAGGGGCAAATAAAGGGGAAATATTGCGGTGATTCCTGGAGGTGCAGTTATTAGGGAACATGCGGTACCCGGTGCCCAGCGGCAGCGCAAATACCACCCGTACCCGCTGGGAGCAGCAGGAGGAAGGCGATGGCCAGGCTGGGGGTCATGTCTGCGGCTGGCAGCTCGTTCCCCATGTGGGATGGGAAGCTGAAGCCCGGCGCTGGCTCTGAGCGGGGTGAGCGGCCTGCACCTGGGTTATGAACAGGGCCCCAGGGAGCTCATTTGCATGGGCTGGGGGTGGGGACAATATAAACGCGGGACCTAGGAGGAGCGTGACAGTGTATCGCGTTGTGAATTCTAGTGGCAGGTGGGTTAGCGAGTCCAACTCTTTAAACTCCCATTTAATTTGAAAATATAGACTCACTAAATGAATGCAATTGCATGATCATCTATCTATCTATCTATCTATCTATCTATCTATCTATCTATCTATCTATCTATCTATCTATCCTATCTATCCCATCCACCCCTCTATCTATCTATCTATCTATC